ATCATCAGGAGACACTCAAGGAGTAAACGTACATTTGTGAGCTTGGGCCCATCTTGTCCCCTTAGCACAGACCACAGGCCTGCATCCCACAGGCCCCAGGGGACAGAGAAGAGAAGCAGAGAGAAGAAGGGACGATGGACAAAGAGGCTCCTATGAAGAGGGTGCTGAGAGGACAGGAAGTGGTCATCAGAAGACAGGGAAATGCACAGAATAAGGAAGAATTTCAAGTAGCTACTGTGACCATTGAAGGAGAGGTAGAGAGAGAGTGGAAAGTCAGTAAGAGAGAGAGAGAAATAGAAATAGAAACTGGGTGTTAGAGATGGCCAAACAGATGTAGGGAGACAGATATGCAGACACAGATAAGAGACATGTAGAGAGAAACAGAAAGAGAGGGAGAGAGATCAGGAGGAGACAGAGGAGAAATAGAGAGAAATAAAGAAGGAAGAGAGCCGGCTGGAAAGGGAGATCTGGAGACAGACGCAGGGGGATGGACAGCAACAGGAAATGAGAAAGGCAAAAAGCTGGACACAGCGAGGGAGACAGAGGGATGTCAGGAGGGGACAGGGACACGGAAGGGCAGCGGGAGCAGCACCAGTCCAGGTGACGGAGCTGTGACCCCCCCCCCCGGGTGACACGTGTCCGAATCCAGTGTCTCATGAGGGGCTGCAGGAGGGCGATTCCCTCCTTCTCCAGTTCTAATTTCTCCCTCATGTAATGATCCTGAGCCCATGAAGTGAAGCTGTCGTTCGTCAGCTCTGTGCTGTCCTGAAACATAGTTTGTATGGAGACGGGCGCGTACGTGGTGACTCTGTACTATTGTGTCATTTCTGGTTTCAGTCATTTCTCACCTGAGCCCTGGTGCTCGTAGTAAGAAATGGTGTTTGATCCCACAACATAGATGCCAGGAGTGCTCAGAGTTCCGGGTTATTATGGCTTTCACTTTTCTCAGTGGATATCTACAAAGGGAGTAATTTTTAGAGATGAGGATTCAACTATAGATCACAGTTTTGCTAATCCTTAAAAATTGTATATTTGCATTTTCCCCTTATACTGACATCTTGCTAAGTAACGCTCTCAACATGAATTTAAAAATACGAATATAAACAAATTGTAATCACCACTAACAACACTAAGCCCACAGGATGCAATTTAAGATTTTTTCATTCTCTCTCCCCCCGTCCCCCTCCTCTAGGGCACCTTGTGCTCATGAATAAACTCGGGGGCCAATACTGCCCTCTTTTCTGTGCTGTAGCTTATAGCTTCTTTAACATTCTGGTGGAGGAGATTTCTCACTACTTTTCTTGTTTTAAGGATTCTCTTTCTGCTCTAGGTGATGGTAGTTTTATACTTTCTTAATTTTGAAACCATGCCCCATCTGGCCCAGCAGGGATTTTCCGGGACCGCAGGGATTTTCCGGGACCGCAGACACTCACGCTTGCCTGGGACAGTCGGCTCTTGGAGCTCTTCCTGCGACAGCCTCGTGTCCCCTGTGTGGTCCCTGGGCAGAGGATGGTCAGCCAGAGTCCCTGCCCTTCCTCCCTTCCCAGCTTCTGCGATGACACCTGTTATTGTACTCTTTTTGATTACAGCCATCTATCAGGTGTGAGGTGCTAGCTCAATGTGGATTTGATTTACATTTCCCTGAATTCCAGGTAAACAACAAAATCATTTGTAGTTCATGTCCAAATATTGCATTGCATTTTGCACTTTCCTGTAAATCTGACAACTTTTGTGAGGCTGCCTTTTTACTTGAGGAGGAAATTCTCTATCAAGTTAATTTGTTATGAATGCACACACACACACACGCACACACACACACACACACACACACACATTTACCTTTGAGAAGGGTCCAATGCAGACCAACATAACTGATCCTAATTTCTTCTAATAAAGCTGGTTCAATGATTATCAGATTTGCTCAGTTGTTTTCCAAAGTCCAATGTGAGGAATGTCTTAAGGAGCCTGATGGTTGTCATCTGTTGACTGGGAACACTAATGTGTGCTTCACAGAATTTTACAACTCTCAAGGGTTACGAAAGTAACGTTTATGTTTGAAAAAGGGCCTGGTCCCAGCCTTGAGATGTAGTGGGTACTCTGATGTAGTTACTGAATTAGAAATGACAGGTCCACTCAATGTGATGTGTTCACGGTACAGAGGAGGGATAGGGGTGCGGGGGTTTGAATCCTGCCTCAGCTGCTCATGGTTTTGTAATATTGAAGGAATCGCCTGTTTTGGGGAGCTTTAAAGATGAGAAACAATGAGGCGTCTGGAATGAGGGTTTTCTTCTTCAGCTTGAAGTATTTAAAGTTCTGTGATTCTCTAGCGAAGTGTGAATGTCCCGGATGCTACTTACGACTTGGTTTTAAAAATGGGACTATTAACCTAACAAAAGAAAAATATATTTAAGGAAAAATGTGGATTCAACACAAAGTGTTATAAACATGTAAATGGAAGAAAAAAGGAAGAATATTTTACGGACAGTCCACTCATCAAAATATATCAATGTCTTTCCTCTTTTGGGCTTTCGGGCTTGTCCCATTCACCGAAAGTTGACATCATGTCTGCATCCATTTATTCCACGTGACCAAGGGAAGCAGTCACACTGGACGAGATCTCAGACTCTCTGCAGGGCGGAGGGGAGCTGCCCCAGGTGAGGTGAGCACGCCAGCCTCTCAGAGGTTAACCAAGCAGGTCCAAGCTTCAGCACCTGGCCCTCTGCACAGGGTCTGCCTGAGTCCACACCTGCTGTGACCCAGCCGCCTCTCCCCTGGGGCTGAGGTCTGGGGCCATCAGAGCAGCTTCATTCAGGCAACAGCGGGATGATCTGGGGAGACAAGACGTCCTGCTCCCTCAAGTGCAGTGTAATTTCTCTCTTCCTGGAGTCAGTGGGGTCCTGATCAGAACCCTCCACTCTCCACATAAGGGTGGCTACTCTTTCTCTCTTGCTGAAGAGTTTTCCCTATTATTCCTTTAAACTTGAGCATCTTTTAAGAAATATGACCTTTAATGCCACTTAGAGAAGAGGAGGGACGCCCCACAGCAGGAAGAGAAGTAGAGGAAAGGTGAACAATGGTCACCTGCTGACATACATCTCCAGGCCCAGGATGGAGCCACTCCTGCCCAGGGTCCCAGGTCAGCAAGCAGAAATGTAGGTCCCTTTCCTGTCCCTGTCAATGCTGCCCTTGACCAGAAACAGTATATCCCAGCCAGCCGGTCCCCATCACCAAGAATCTGTAATGATTTCCCTGTTCTAGATGGGATCAGATATGTGACCCCAGCCAATCAACCTGAGCCAAAAGCTCTCTCCTTATTCCCTCAGTGACCTGCTAGCCTTGTAGGGAGATCCCTGAACTCCACCTAATCCCTCCTGTTCCCCCTTGGCTGCTTCTAAGATTCTATAAACTCCCTCTTGCCCAAATCCCTGGGGAACTGTGTCCACTGCTTGTGAGGCACTGAACGCCCCAATCCATGGATTATTCTTCTTTCAATAAAGGACATAACACACTACAAACTAAATTGTTTCACTTTTGTCATTGACACACCCAAGAGAGTATTTGGCTGGAGGTTTGGGGCAGACTTCATTACCCACTGAGCCTGGTGAGCTGTTGAGAGACTTTAATGTGAGTAGTATTTGAATAAAAATGGTAACAGTAATTGAGAGAAACAGACTTTTGAATGCTGACCATGTGAAATAAAATTTATTTTCAGAAAACAGTAGAAGGTTGTGGATTTTCTCCCCCAAAGTAAGATTTTCTCATTGGTGAAAATCTAGAAAATAAAGAAAGCAGGAAGAAAAATGTCACCCAATTTGTCACCACCCACACTGCTCACCTTCTATATTGAGACTCTTTCCACCTGCCGTTTTGCTGGTCAGATGTCTCCCCCATTGTCACTCTCTGTTTCACTTAACACTTTAGCACAGCTGCCCTAGACACCTGCTGAGGGTCTGAATGATGGGCCTGGAATATTCTTTTAGCAGAGCATCTACTCAACACCTCACCATCTCAGCACAACCTCAAAGCCTGCATTTTGGGACACTTTAGCTTTGAATCCCGGTTATAGCTCAGCATGTCTGCCTTCCAGTTTTACCAGGAGGAGGAGCACGGGAGCTGGGTCTGGTCATGGGTACTGCAGGACCCAGCCCTCCAGCCCAACCAAGTCCCTTTCCTGGCTGTCCCCACTGCCCTTGCCCTCCAGGTGGTCAGCCTATAATGAGTATAACGAATTACTATAACTATACCCAGGAAGCCTTGGTATACTTGCCATAAGTGAAAAGGAATTTTCGTTTCGGTTGGAAGTCAATGCTATCTTTATTTCTCACGCATTTCCGGTGCATTCCTCAGCTGACCCCTCACAAGGCCCCGCCTTTCCCATTTTTGAAGATCTGACCCTGGGACTGCAGGACCTGGTCCCACTGCCTGGTCTACACTGCCCCTGGGTCGATGCAGTCTTCTTCCTTTGGATACACACACACACACACACACACACACACACAGGTGTGCCCACAGAAGCCCACATCCTTTTTTTTTCAAAACTAATCCTATGCTATGAGAAAACATCTACTGCCCAGAAAACATCTACTGCCAATAGTCCAGTGTTGAGGTGAAACACCCATCCCCAACATTTCCTGAGCCTTGTCTATGCACCTGGGACAGGCTACACGCTTTGCTCACATTTCCTGTTCACTCTGCCTACAAACGAACGAGGTCCCTTTTGACAGATGAAGAACAGGAGGAGAAACAGCTCGCCCACGACTGCACAGCTATCGTGTTATGTGAGGGCATTTAATCTCCTGATGCCACCTCTGGGGACAATGCTCCAGTGCCTGCTCAGGAGCCCCGTGCCTTTTAGGGGGGAATTGCTGCTCTGCTTGTCCCTGCCCCCCAGGCAGGCCGCACACCCATTGCTCTGTGAGTGCCAGGTGGCCATTTGAGGCTTAGGGTTTGTCTCCAGCCAGACCCGGCTGTCATCCCACCTGATTCGCCTTAGGCATGCAGCCTCAAAAGAGACACTGAGCAGAAACAAATTAGTGCTGTGCTCCATAGTCCATGTCGAATCAAGGATTGCTATTATTAGTGGTGTTTTTATTGCACCAAAGCTCTTCCGTATTCTCAGCACCCTGACCGTTGGGGGTTCCTCTCCCCATTTTGTGGTCAGACCTGTCCCTGCCCTCTGGCTCCTCCCTCCAGCCTCTCTCTCTCTGTCTCTCACCAGCAGGTGCCTCAGGGATGCAGAGCTCAGACACTAACCTGCCCTCTGCCACCCACCTAATCAGTCTCCTTCCAGCAGGTGCAGCTGGGAGGTCACCCTGGGCTTCTCTCCACCAGCGGGAAAGCAGAACCATGCTGGGTCCCCTCGCCTTCCTGTGCGCCCTCCTGTTTCCCGGTAAGTCCTGACTCCCTCCCCGGTGCGGGTGCGTGGGGTGCCCTGAGGCTCTTATCCTTCCCTGTCTCACCGCTGTCCCCCCTCGCAGGTGGCGTGGCAGCGATCAGTGTGGAGCAGCCAGCCGTGGTGGTGGCACGTGCAGGCAGCTGGGCCACGCTGCCCTGCAAAGCCAGCACCTCGGTCAGCTACATCCACTGGTACCGCCACCAGGAGGGTACAGCCCCCAAGAGGATCCTCATGATGGATATGTCCAGCTCATATGTGACCAGAGATGGTGTCTTGACAGCAGACAAGGTCCACGCCAAGAAAGGCAAGGATAGCACAAGCTCTAGCCTGTTGCTGCTGAAGCTGGCGAAGAGCGATGAGGGCGTGTATTACTGTGCTGTTTGGGAAGATCAGAGCACAGCCTTACAGGAAGCTCAGGTCCTTGAGCAAAAAGTCCCCAACTCCCAGGGTGCTCCAGTCCTGGACTTTCCATGGGTGCTGGGTCCCTGGGGTTTCCTGGGTCAACCGACAGTACCTTGGACACTGGAGGACACCCCCCTCCGTGGGTCCACTGCACATGACCCAGGAGGCTAAGGAGCCCCAGCTCACAGGCTGGTGCAGACCCAGGGAGCTGTCCCGTCTGGAGGCACTTTTCTAAAGATCGTCCAGGGTGAGCTTCTGAAGCATCTGGAGCAGGATCTGAGCTGCTCAAGGCAGCAGCCATGAGCACCAGGCACCAGCCCAATGTGGCTACTGAGCACTTGAAATGTAGCCACTGCACTAATCCATGCCACCATGGGCTGCTTGTGTAGCATATTCTGGAGACTAAAAAAGAAGATGAAATATACCCTTAAAAATTTCTATATTAACTGCACACTGAAATCACACTGAAATACTATTTTGGATATCATTCACTAAATAAAATTTGTGCTAGAATTATTTCTTTAACTTTTTTACTTATTTATTTAGCCTTGTTTTTAACGCAGCATTTAGGGAATTTTTAATTTGTGTCTCAAATTGTGTCTAACACTTACTTCTATTGAACAGAGCTGTGCCAGACTGACGATTCAAGAATCTGACCATCTCCAATGAAGAATGTGGGAATAAAATATCGTGCAAATAATTTCAAGGCCGAGAGACTCTCTGGGGATTCCGCACAAAATGGGTGCAAGCAGAGACTGGAAGGCAGTTCCTGACTCTAGTTTCTAAGTTGCCGCCCCGCCCACCGCTGGTTCCTGTGCAGAGACAGACTCTTTGATCAGAAGCCCAGGAAACAGTGTGGCTGACTTCGCAGCACCCTCACCCATGCCTGGTGCTCACTCTCCTGCGGGGGAAATGATCCTCAGGGCAGGTGCACGCATCGGCCCTGGACGAGACCCCGGGCCCTCCGCCTTCCCCGTCTCCTTGAAAGTGACTCTATATGGGATTTGGGGACCAGCTTCCCTGGACCTCTTAACTGCTACAGTTGTGTGACCGATTTCTGTATTAAAGCAAAATTATACCAAAAATATATCACTATGTTCACTAACTTCTTATAAAGTTAATCAACTTCTTGACCAAAAGAAAAAAAAGAAAAAGAAATAAAAATGAAAGAAGAGAAATTAAAGAAAAGAAAAGCTATATTACTAATTCCCTAGCCATAAACAGGAGAGGCCCTGCTGTGTGGAAGGAAGATAAAACTCTCTGAGGAGGTCTAAGCTGAATTAAATACATTTTCAATTGAAAATTCCAACTTTAGGTACAACTTAATAGCATTGGCAAAAATAATTAATGAAAGGGAAGTCTAAATGATTGGAAGTTAATTGGTTTCTCGGATTTGCTAAATCTTCCTCCATCTTGATGAGCTTCTGTTTGTGTGGATGATTTATATTTAAGACATGCCTGCCTGTGAAGGAGCCCAAACAACATCTGGACCCTCTACTGAAGTCCCGGGTCAAGGTTAAGGCCTCCAGCAAGTGCAGGAAGTGTGTGAGGGGGGGAGGGTTTAGGGGGCAGAAAGTCACCTTCCCTCCCTCTTGGGGGTGGTCCCCTCATTTGTCATCCCCATTTCCTAATACAACCCAACCCTCTCGTCTTGCTGCACCTTCTCAGTGCCTGACTCCACAGAGGGGTCTCTGAGACCTGATTATTATGGTTTAGTTAGAGAGAAGTGAGATAAATACGAAGACACTCTCATGAGAAGTGATCCCAAGTCCATGTCAATCTCAGTTTTCCACGTGGATCCATTGTGCTTTTGATGTACAGCCTGAGAGGACAGTGGCCTTGTACAGGGAGGAAACACCCCCTTTGTGGAGGAAGAAACAAGTCTATGTTTGGAGTCATTTCTTCCTCCTGCCCTTCTCCTTTTGGCTAAGGTGAGCTTCACCCAGGACACTTTGACCACACATAGTAAAGGCCAACCAGCTCTGCCTTAAGTAAAGATTATTCATTACAAGGTTGTTTCAAGGCTGATTCATGAAAACACTAAAAATATCTTATTGGAGTATATAGGACTGAATATAGTAGGGCCTCTATCTCTGTTGAAGTGAGATTCATATTTTGAATATACTGATGGGCTCACATTACCTCAAGGGTAAAGGACTTTGCATAGATGGCTGCTTGAAAAATCCTGATGATTTGTGCTCAACTCATTCGTTTCATTCCTGAGGTGGGTGAGACGCAATGCTTTTGAATAATAGAAGCAACATTATAATTTCAAATTAATGCTGAATAAAGTCCAAGAACACCTCAAAAATCACAATTTTCCTAGTTACAATATCCAATACCAACTGCTCACACCCACCAGTACTGTGGCAAAGTCATGTCTGTTACCTCAGAGTCATCTCCTAGAAATCACACTTCTAAAGATTTCTAGGCCCAACTGGAACCCATCTTGACTATTTTTTTGGGTGCTTTTTATGGTTCACCCCCACAATGGGTTCAGGGACACAGCCCCGGGTAGAGGAAAGGGCATAACTTTGGAGGGGTCACTGCTAAACATTGGGATCATGATAGTTTTTATGATGTCATTTCTATACCCTGATTTGTCATGTAGCAAACTTGCATTGCTTTTGAATTTTATTTTAAGATGTGTTTTTGAAAACAATTCACATGTTACTTAATATTAAAAATCTTGCATATTACTGAACACGTAGACAGGACATGTGACATCCGATGGTTAGAAAGGCCTGAATCGGGTTGTGTCATGATCATTTTTGTCCCCTCTTCTCGAACAACAACTTTTGCCTCTGTTACAAAACAAAATCCGGTTTTCTTTTTGGATCCCCACTGACTCCATCTGCCTACTTAGACCAGGTCCGTTCTTGGAGAATCGGAGTAGGTACTTGGTCTGAGTGTGTCTTTTCCCCCGTGGAGGACAGACACCAAGTACTACAGACAGTGGCACAAATAGTCTTCTCATTAACGCTGTGCTGTAACTTCCTTGGTTTCCTTATGTCACTTTTATCCAGACGCAGAGGCAGGAGTGAGATGGTCCCAGCAGAAGCACACACACTGTCGCACACAACCCTGGTTTCCTTCAGCAACGTTCTTGGGCACTTTTACTGCCTGAAACACGATCTCCTAGCCTTCATGGAAGGTTGCTAGAAAATTGCCCTCACGTGTTCTTCATCTGGAGACTGAGAAGAAGATAGACTTTCAAGTAGGTCTCTGTGTGTCTCCACTTTGGGGGTACAGATTTCTCTCCCAGTAACAGGACAAGGGTGGATGTTGTGGGGTACTGAGTGTGGATTCTGTGAAACCTGTTTCCTCCCCAAGATCAACACGCCATGTTTCTCCCCCCCTGCTCTGTGCCCCAGTCCCCAGGGATTATGCTAATGGGCATCTTTGCTCTGATATGCATTGACTGTTGGTCAATGGAAGTTGAAGTTCAAAGAAGCATCACCATGTCCCCTGACAGAAGCATTTTTTTCGGGCATTAGATGGACGTCCAAGCCTTTGGATTCAGGGTCCTGGGAGAGAAGAAATAAATGCTTCCCGTGGGTTAATTGGCATAAAAGGGAATGGCCACTTCCACTCGCACCTGTGTTTTCCTGAGCATAACCCTCTGTCTCTGGTGTAGATGGCACTATGTGTTGGCCCCTGCGAGGATGCAGACCCCCTTCAGGGAGGGATCCCTGAGCTCACTCGGCTCCCACCTCCCAGCCTCCTCCTGATGTTTCCACTGACTGCTTCCAAACAACAACCAGAGAATAAGGAAACCCACCCATGCGGTCCATGAGGGTCCACCTCGTAATGCCCAGGGCGAGGTAAAGAGAGGTGGACAGTCCATCTGGACTGGAGCAAAAGAATGAAATCAAGCAGACAGTCAGATAAGTGGGTTATATTTGCCTCCAAGTAAATAACACAAGTTGGAGACTCAGGAGAGTTTAGTTCCTTTCATTTCACTTTCCGCAAAACCACCAAGGTCCCATCTCTAACAGAACAGGATGTGCTTTTCTAGTTGATGAACGTAGCAGAGAGAAGCATGTAGATTATTTGTAATGCTGTCGTTCTTCAGTTAGATCAGGGATTCCAGGTATTTGTCGAGTTATGAAGTAAATCGTCATCACCTAAGTAGAACATAATTAATAACTTACAGAGATATCTGTGTAGATAAATTACAGTGCTTTTTGACACAATATTATGATGAATCCAACTCTGTGTTCTTGACGTCCTTTAACAGAATAATCAATTGTACAGCAGTGAAACAATTCCAAATCTTATTAAAAGAGACCAGAGAATTGTCTTCCACCTTAACAATGTCAACTACAACCCAGCCTCTCACCTTTGTTATAATTGATCTATCTTTTCTGTCCTTCCTTACTTTACCTTCTTGCCACCTTTAAGTCGCCATTGACTCTTTCAATCACAAACTGGTCATTCCTATGTATAGCAGTTCTGCTGCCTTTGTTTTCTTTTAACTTCTAAATTGAAGTTACAGAGTGATTACCCAAACTCTGCAGTTATATTCTGAAAGTGGCAGAACTAGCGTTTGTAGCCCACGGGTCAACAGATTTCTTTGATTGCTTTTCATTGCTCGGCCAAGAAAAAGAATTAGGTTCTTTCTGAAAATTAATATATATAGCATAATTCTGATAAGATTTTAATAATAGGTACATTTTACTGAGAGCTCCTTATGTCCTCAGCACAGTATGAAGCACTTTATATGCTTCTTGTTATGTGATGCTTCGTTATCAGAGGAGAGAGGAAAGAGAGTCTGAGAGCTATCAAAGTACCCACACAGATGTCCCTAACCCTGCCCCAAGTGTCTGGGTTGACATAATTTCCTATTGACTTATAAATTGACTTTCCTATTGACAATACATTCCTATTGACTTCCTGTTTGGAGACTGTGTATGTTGAAATGGGGTGATTATCTCAGAGAGAAGTAAGGTGCACAGAGATTTGCAGTAATTGTGAAAGGCCCACAGTGAAGGTGCTAAATTCAGATCTCTTTGGCTCCACTGGCTGTCACATGTTGTGCTGGATGTGGTGTCTGTCCAGGAGCTCATGTGATCGTCATAAAAATCCTGCCACGACCCCTATTTCACAGGTGGAGGAATTGATGCTTGGAGAGAAATAGAAATATTTCCAAACTAATAGTCCAGGCTCTTTCACTGCACTGTTGGGCCACTTGGAATTTTCTGTGTGTTTGTTGACTCGAGAGGAATACACACTGGCATTTGTGAGCAAATACGGGTTGTCCCAGACCTGCCTCCCAGCCCAGCAGAGCCTGGTTGGGACAGTATGTGGGTCACTCATGAAGCCATGCCTAAGGAGTCCCAGTGGGCACCCATCTGGAAGACTTCTTTTTCAGACAGTCTGTCCCGGAGCCCAGTCTGCGGGTGGGGCAGAAAAGGCTACAAAAAATCACTATCTTCTCTGTTTTGTGAACTTGCTTTAGCAGACAGTATCCTGGGTCAACTACATGGAGAACACTTAAAACTTCAGAACCAGACTTACAGAAACAATCAAAATATGCTAGAAGATAATGTTTTGGGAATTTGTAGCTGGCCGTTTTCTTCTCAGACGTATATTGTGTCACCTGGAGCCCTTTCTCTGTTTAGGGAAAACAGTCAGAAATAGCTCCCCCGAAAGTGGCTGGTGTCTGGGTTCACAACAAGCTCATTTTGTCGAATTAATTGTGAGCTAGTGAGCTTGAAAGTCAGAATGAAATGAGAAAGAAAATGATTTGTTTTCTATGTTTTCAAGTCTCTCATTTAT